TGTTGGGATTTCTTGTACTGAAAATAATTATAATTAAATTTATTGATTGACAGGTACTCACATGACAGTTTTTGTTCTGCTGTAATAACTACAAAAATTCAACAGTAATACAAACCAGGGATCTAAAATCGACCAAGGAGAACAAAATGTTCAAAATGAAGAGTTTGATATTCAGAAAAACTGTGAATCTGAATACTTTAGAAGCAGCTCAGCTTAAAAAAATACGTATTAAAGAAGGAATTATCACATCAGACAGAATCCAGAGCAATTAAACAAAGTTAAACTCCATCAAACAACAATTACAGGAAACCAGTGAACAAACACACACACAGACACACACACACACACACACACACACACACACACACACACACACACACACACACACACACAGCTCTCATTATCTCACAGACTCATGAAGACAGACTGGAAGAAGACTGACATCAAAGCAAAATGATCACAACACACTGTACGATCAATACGCAGGATTGATTAGGGACTGAAGCCAGAGGTTAGCCAATCAGAGAGCTCCTCAATGTTCGGCTGAATATAAAAAAAAACGGTCGGAGAGAAAAACTGGCGATGAACGAGAGAATAAATGACGAGGAATGAGGGAGGTGAAAAACGTGACGAGGGACTGAGGGATTATTATTCTGCTCCTCACATCACTGTGAGTAATTAAAGTCAATCACCACTTGAACAGGTTTGAACACGCAACACACACACACACCACACACACACACACACACACACAGACTCTGTTACTGTGTTGGTGTGTGACGGACCGAGTCAATAACAGACATGTTTCACACACACAACATGTTTCTGCAAATGCTGTGAGATTTAAAATACATTTATACACACTAATGTTTCCATGTCTTTTAAAAACGTGTTATTTACAAAGTAGTTCATGTACTCCCAGCTGGCTTTTCAGCAGGGCTAGGGTTCGAGTCCCGGTGCAACGACTTCTGAAAACTAGTGAGGAATGAGCCCAACAATAACAACAACAATAATGGGCTGTATAACTAACATATTATAGGTTTTAATCTAATGTTTGCACTCTTTTAGTGCGATCAAACCCCACTACAGCGACCCGTCTCCTCCTCCTTCCAGCAGGACAGGCAAATACGGCCACTCAGAGCCACCTGGTGCTACTTGGCCTTCAGTTTCACGACTGAAGTCCAAGGACACGGCATTTCAGAGGACGGAGACTTCTCAACAAGACACTGAATTTTTTTCACCTAGTGCAGCACATTCAACCCTGAAGGAAAAACTCTGATTTTGAATAAATTATTTGATGGATCTACAAAGTCTTAAAGGTGAGGTCGGCAGGAATCCGTTAAAGAAGCATCTTTTTTTGTGGTGTATAAACAAAAAACTTTTAACATCAGTCAATACTTATTAGTTATTGATGACATTTGGTAATATAATGAAATAGCTTTTTTTGTTGTTCTAGGTTGTGTCGTCAACATTTTAAAATTTCAGAGTGCTCCGCTCTTTCTAACTGTAAACAAAGCCGTTCTCCACCTCCTCTAACCTGATTGGTTGTGAGGCAGACGCTGCTCCCCCGTGTCGTTCAGGAGCCCAAACAAAGTTAGCGTGCTACAATATCGGACAGTAGAAACCAACCAGAAAGTTCGGAAAATTGTCTGAATCCTCCTTTGGCCACGACTGCCGACACAAGCAAGAAAACAAAGTAAATACCGGAGACTCTGGAGGAATAACGGGCGCTTAAAACGGAGGTAGACCGGACAAGAGCTAAAAAGCCGGGTCAACATAAACGATGGGGGACGCTTGGGGATCTTGGTGACCCTGTAACCTTTCTGCTGGACAGGTAAACCGCTTTAACAAAGTAAGACAAGTGTCTGTAACAGAAGTGTTTCTTGTCAAACGGACCTGCTGTAGCGTGTTGTAGCGCCATCGCTAAACTGTCCTCCCTCGGGTCCTGGACTATGTCACTTTATCCTCGTTGTAGAAGTCCTGCAAACATTGTGTTTGCTGGTAGTCTGTTGGCATCTACAGTAGCACCAATGCTTTTGACTTTCACCTTGACTGGGCCCCATTTGTAATGATCTGAAGTATTTATCTTCATTATATCTGAATTTAATTGGAACGATACGAGCGAGCAGGAGCGTCTGTTTGTGGGCGGGGCTTGAAGGGAGAGGAGGAGCTGAGGGGAAAACTGGTTGGGAGGGGTAGAGTTTACATTCAAGATTTCTCCTAAAAACTGGAACTAACTCAGATCCTGACTACAACACCTTTAAAGGCCCATACCATAAAACCAACAGAAAGTACGCCATTTGGGACATTTGGTGATCTGGTTAATGTCTTTTTTAAGGGCTTCACCTTGGATGAACTCTTACAGGGGTTATTCATCCACTTCATTGTTGGTATCCAGGTAAATGAAGACCTTCAGCCTCTGGACAAAAGTCCAAGGCTGTAAGTTTGATGTCTGATCAACGCTCGGCTTTCTTTCTTTGACAGGATGTTATCTAATCAACTAAATCAAACTTCTGTGGAGCCTGAAGAGACTCAAAGTTGTTCCTGGCACATGTACAGAAGTTACTTAACGCTGCCTCAGGGGCCTTTAAAATTTGATGACAGGCTGTATAACGGAAAACCACGGCCGGGTCCAAAGTACCTGAAACTTCACAGATAAGATTACTGCCTATTTCTGGAAACGTCTCCTGCATCAGTGCATTTTTTTTTCTGTTTGAGTGGCTGCAAGAAGGTTTTTATGGTTTCCACTGAAATTATTTGACAGTTTTGAAATTTGTGACCCATTACTTCCAGTCTTTTTGTTCTTGTGGAGTGATTTTCCCTTTCCAGTAGAATAACTGCGATTTGAATAAAGCTGGGTCAAGTTTTCTTTAAAGTCTCTGCGTCATGTCAGGTCATGTCCATGCTTCGCTCTCTAAACAGGTAACCCATGACATGATAAATAAAATATAAAAAACATGATCTGGGGATTTCTTCAGGGGCCAAGGATCTCGTAAAGACATCCAACTTTGGACAGAAACTTTTAAACACTGGCTGCTATTACAAAACAGAAATATCAAATCTGAGCAGGGGAATTCCTCCCACCTGTGTCCGGATGTTACCTTGAATCTTAAAGCTCAGTTCAGAGGGTTTGGTTGGAGTCTGGATGTGCAGCATCTGTGTGAGTGATGGAGCCAGCGGCAGATCCTCAGAGACTCTCACCGCCTGCAGCACAAAGTCTGACCTGGACTGCCTGAAATCTCAGATGGAGCTGCACTTTCCTGAAACTCATACCTGAGGAGTCAGGCTGAAAATCTGAGCAGAAACCTCATCCTGAGTGTCCCAGCTTCACCTCCTGCTGCTCACACCACATCAGCCGGTGATGGAGGAAATGAAATACCTTTGTTAGCATATGCAGTTTGGACTGAAAACCCTCAGTGAGAATTAAAAACACGACAACTGTCCTGCTAATTTCATCTGTAAAAAAGTTATGTTGTAATTTATTAGCTTAATCAGCCTGGGCTCTAAAGAGATTAAAAACTTCACTGAAATTATATGAGGATAAAAATTTGAAATTAATTCAAGAAACAGCAAAAGTGCATTTTTTTGTATGAAAACACAAATGATGGATTGATGGAATGATGGATACAGACCATATATGAAGCAGCGCTGTCACCTGATGTGTTGAAGTTGCTAAATTGTGTTTTTTAAAAAGTTTTTTACTGATTTTGACAAAATTGACAAAATAATGACAAACAGACGAGGTGATTTCAGTGACTCAGTTTGAGGATTTTTATGATTTTTTACCCACAATCAGAGACTTGACCACAATCTGAGCTGAGTCAGAAACATCCAAACAGTCGGACTAATAAATGTGATTATTATTATTAGAGTGATTGAAAAGCTCATAACAACATGTAGATCTGTCCAAAGTCTGATTCTAGATGTCTTTACAAACACACTGATCCAACAGAAGCAGACAGAAATATCCATCGATCACATGAACACAAATATTCAGCAAACAGAGAAAGAAACAGATCATCTGAAGAGTTTTTGGGGACGACTGGAAAGACTTTAGACGCTTGGATTTGGGACAGGAAATAAAGGTCGTCCTTTTTCATCTTTCTGTTATTTTGACGTCACTTTTTTTCTAAATCAATCAATCAATCAATCAATCAATCAATCAATCAATGTCTTATTTTATATAGCGCTTTTCATACACAACATATAGCACGAAGTGCTTTACACAGAAAAACGAATAAAAGAAACAAAGAATACCCAAATCTACCCCAACTCAAGATTAAAAAAATACACAAATCAACCTCAGCCCAACCCCTCATTCCCGTCCCACGATCTTAATGCATCAGAAACAGGATTAAAATGCATGAACTTAAAAAGGACTTGGAAACAGAGGAAACATCATTTTAAAACTCAAGATAAGGAAACACTGGAGGTTTATGTTAAAATCTAAAAACAAAGTAATGTAGAATGAAATTTAAGAAATAATAAATGAAATGAAATAAAAACAACAGTAAAAGATACTAAAATAAGAGCACCAAAGTAGCTCAATAAAAGACAATCCTGTGATTAAAACTAGAAGAGATAAATGCTAAAACACTTAACGAAGTCAATGATATAAAAAATTTAGTTAAAAGCAAGAAGAAAAGGTATGTTTTCAGGTTGCTTTTAAAATCATTAGGAAGTCTCAGTCTAAAGTCTCAGACCTTCAACATCTGCACCAACTGAAGGTGATTTGAACAAACCATCATCTTGATGTTGTTGATATCAAACTTGATGAAGTTTTTCAACATGAGAAATACAAACAATCAAAGTTCTCCACAATCACTGTCCTTAAAGCTGCGACCAAATCAGCATCTTTAGAAAAGAATCAAAAAGCTGAAATGAAGAACTAAACCCAGAGTTTTTGGTGAGACTGATCCACAAACATTTACAAACCAGAACATTTCAAGAGTTCAAGGATCTCAGTCCATGATTTTGGTCTGATGGACTCAAAATTCTCTTTATTTCACTTCTATAAACTCAGCAGAGGCTCCAAGGCCTAACCACAGTCCAGCATGTAGAGGTTCAGTGAATGTGGTCTGGATTCTGTGGAGGAGAGTCATGGTTTCAGAGACGCTGTAGAAGGACAGAATACCTGCTCTGTGATCCAGGTACACTCCTACTCTGGAGGACGGAGGACCTGAGACATCAGTGTTGACTTTGTTGTGAACAAACTCATAACTGTCATTATAACAGTCTAACCTCCAAGATTTGTCATTTTCTCCAAATCTACAATCCTCTGATCTCCCGTCTCTCCTGATAGTCTTGTATGCGACTGCTACAATAACCCCGTCCCCGCTCCAGTCAACCTCCCAGTAACAACGTCCAGTCAGACTCTCTCTACTCAGGACCTGAAAATAAACAGTGAATCTGCCTGGATGATCAGGATAAGACTGTTCTCCTGTAAATGTTGCTCTTCTGTTTCCATCAGATAATAACAGATATTCATTTACTGTGTTTGGATCCAGTGTGATTCTTTGTGAATATCTTAAGAAACCAGCTCTGGTCTTGGGTTCTGCTGGTCCTGGTGGTTCTAACAGTAAAACATCCACTTTAGTCACTGCCTGTGAGACGTTTGTCCACGTCTCTGTCAGAAGATCCTGGAGTTTCTCTCTGACCTCTGACACAGCTGCTGTCACCTCCTCAAAGTATCTCAGAGGACGGATGTTGATCCTGGATGAGTCTGCAGGTTGACCCGGTTCTGACAGTGAGGGGTAGCTGTGCAGAAACTGGTTGTGGTCCTCTGTGAGTGAGAGCTTCTGCAGATCAGCGTCTTTCCTCTTCAGCTCAGTGATCTCCTGCTCCAGTTTCTCCTGAAGGTCTTTGACTCGACTCACTTCACGTTCCTGCTGGGATCTGACCTGCTGCTCCACGTCAGAGCGGCGTTTCTCCATCAGACGGATCAGCTGGCTGAAGATCTCCTGGCTGTGCTCCACAGCTTTATCAGCAGAGCCGTTGATAGCCTCCACCTCCTGTTGGAGCAGCTTCACATCTTCTTCTCTGTCCTGGATTCTCTGCTGGATGTTTTCTCGACTCTCCTCCAGATCTTTCTGCCTCTCAGTCCTTTCTGCTGCAGCTGAGACTGTGTCGTGGCCTTTGTGTTGGTCCACAGAGCAGAGATAACAGATGGACTTCTGATCAGTGCGGCAGAACATCTTCATCACCTCATCATGATGAGAGCAGATGTTCTCCTGGAGCTTCTTGGAGGGCTCCACCAGCTTGTGTTTTGCATAGGCAGGAGATTCATAATGAGGCTGGAGGTGTTTTTCACAAAATGAGATCAAACAGACCAGACAGGACTTGACAGCTTTCAGTTTTCTCCCACTGCAGGAATCACAGGCCACATCTTCAGGTCCAGCCTCAGAGGGATCATCAGGAGCAGCTTGGAGTCCGCTCTTCTTCACTTCCTCCACTAAACCTGCTAACATGGTGTTTTTTATCAGGACAGGCCTCGTAGTGAAGGTCTGTCTGCACTGAGGACAGCTGTAGATCTTCTTCTCATCCTCTTTATCCCAGTAGGTTTGAATACAGCTCATGCAGAAGCTGTGTCCACAGGAAACAGTCACCGGATCCTTCAGAAGATCCAAACAGATGGAACAAGAGAAAGACTCACGGTCCAGATGAACTCCTTTCTGCGCCATTTCAACACTCGCTGTCGACGACGACTGACTGAGTTTTATTTCCCAGTCTGATCTCTGATCGTCAAGTCAGCTCAGTATATCTTGGTTACACCCATCCTCAGACTTTGGACCTGATCAGATCTGGGAGAGGTTATCAAGTTTTTTTATGATCCAGGAAGAGGAGTGACGATGTGAACTTTAGACTCTGAAACTCCAACAAGCAGAAGTTATTAAAGCTGCAGCCGTCCTGAAGATGAACTAAACCAACATTTATTGACCTCATATAAACCTCATCAATCACAGAAAGACTTCCAACAAGTAGATCAAAATTTTCCTGAACAAACTAAAGATTCTGCCTCTCACATTTTGGTAAATGTTTGGTGAATTATTTTTTTGCATTTACAATTTATTCATAATCCTCATCTAAAAATACTTCAGTTGAGTTCTTGTTATCTCAAATCTCTGTCCTGATAAGGAAAAAGGAAGAAGTTATGTTTGGTCTGAAAACTCTGCCTGGAGGGTCGAGCTCTGGGCTGGAGAACTAAAGCAGCAAATGTGCGGACGGCCATCTTTCTCACTGTTAAGCCGCGTTCAGACCAAACGCAACCTGAAGCGACCTAGTCGTGTTGGTCGCTGTATTCCCATCGCGTCGTGCCCTGGTGTGTTCACACCGGGTCCAAATCTGCAGTCGCAGAGGTCGCAGGATGCGGCTGGTCGCTGTTGACCCGCTTCTCCCACCTTCCTTCTCCCTCCTTTTCTCCCTCAAATATACATCCCGCAGCCCCTTCCAGCGCTTGCGGCACACATCCACTGCAAAGACATACACACACACACGTTGAAACATGTAGCCTAGCAAGCAGGGGCAGTTTGCTATGTTTTCAGAAAATAGTCTGCTCACTGAAACAAAAAAACAAACAAACTTACCAGAAAGCCCGACATCATGGGCCACCTTCGCCCATGCTTCCTCCTTGGAGGTGCGGTCCCGGTAGAACGTGCACCCCACGTCTTACAGGACCGGGTGATAACTCACGGCAGTGATAAGCTGCTCCTCCATTGTGATTCTTCTTCTCCTCCACCTTGCTTTGCCGGTTTGTTGACGTCAGCAAAGCCCTGATTGGCTATCGTGGCACGGAGTCGCAGAAAGTCGCTCCCAAAGTTAAAATATTTGAACTTTAGGAGTGACGCGACTTGTTGTCCTGCGACCTCGGCGACCATGCGCGACCTTGTCTCGTAGGTCACTCACGTCGTGTCACTGGCAGCCGGCGGTCGCCAAGTCGCATCAGGTTGCGGCTGTACATAGACTTTGCATTGGGAGTTGTTGCTCAAATCGCTAAGGTCCCGTTTGGACTGAACACAGCTTTAGAGCGGTTCTACAAGGTTAATATGTGTGAACAAAATCTCATAAAACAGAGACTGAAATTAAGGTTTTGACTTTCATGTATTGCTGACGCAAAGCTAAGGTTTTAAAGGCCTTAAGAAACAGGAATAAATCAATGTTAGTGCTAATGCTAGCTGAGGTTAGCTTGTGCTTATGCTAGCAGGCCTCCACTATGTAGCTGGGTGAGCAGGAGGGTTTTGAATTGTATGCAGTATGGGATGGGGAGCCAGTGCAGTTTTTGGAGGACAGGGGTGAACAGGTGTGGGTGAGCAGGTGGGCAGCAGAGTTCTGAATGTATTGGAGTTTATTGAGGACTTTGGATGATGAGCCGTTTAGGAAGCTGTTGCGGTAATCTAGTCAGGATGTTCTGAAAGCATGGATCAGGGTTTCAGCAGTGAAGGGGAGTGAGGGGCGGAGACGGGCAATGTTTCTGAGGTGAAAGAAGACGGTCCTGGTGATGTGGTTAATATGGCGGTCGACCTTGAGTTGGCTGTCAAAAATGACTCCAAGGTTCTGGATGAGAGGGGACATGACAGAGTACAGTTGTTGAAGGTGAGGCTTAAGTTTTGGGTCATTCTGGTGTGGGATGTGTGACCAATGATGATGCTGATGATGATGTCTGATTTGTCTCTGTTCAACTGCAGATAGTTTCTTCACATTCTTTTTTAACTTCAGTGGGACAGTTGCTGAGTGTGGAGTGGGTGGTGTTTGTGACGGCTTTGGTGGAGATGTATAGTTGGATCTCGTCTGCATAACAGTGAAACTGGACTCTGTAATGATGGATGGTTTTGCCAAGGGGGAGCATGTAGAGAATGAAGAGGAGGGGACCAAGCACTGATCCCTGGGGGACGCATTGTGACGGAGGAGTGGTGGTGGAGGAGGTGCAGCTGTTGATGCTGATGAACTGGTGACGGTTGGTGAGGTAGGAGTGGATCCAGGGGAGTGCTGGGCCAGTGATATCAGCTGAGGATTTCAGTCGGGAGAGCAGGATGGAGTGGTTGATAGTATGAAAGGCTGCTGTGAGGTCAAGAAGGATGAGGATGAGGATGGTGAGGTGTCCAGAGTCTGAGGAGAGGAGGAGGTTGTTGGTGATTTTGAAGAAGGCCGTCTCTGCGCTGTGTTGAGAACGGAAACTGGATTGAAAGTATTCTAAGAGATTATTGGAGGTGAGGTGGGTTCTGAGTTGAGAGGCGACAGCACAATCCAGAATTTTAGATAAGAAGGGGAGATTGGAGATGGGGCGGAAGTTACTTGGACTGTCAGTGTTGAGACCAGATTTTTGGATTATGGGTGGAACGGCAGCCAGTTTGAGGGTTTGGGGAAGAGAACCAGAACTGATGGAGGTATTACTGATGTCAGTGATGAGTGGGGAGATGACAGGGAGGCGGTCCCTAATGAGTTTGGATGGGATCAGGTCCAGGGTTAGGTGGAGGTTTTAATCCCAGTCATGAGAGAAATGTGAAAGGGGCTGGATGGTGTCAGGTGGTGAGATGGGAGGGGTTCCAGAAGACCCACTTTTTTAGTTTTGCATTGAACTGAATTGGATTTCTTTCACGACACAAATAAAACTGGACTTTTGATATTATCTTATAATATTTTTTGATTTATTTTTAAACGATTTCTTGTATCATCTTATATTTATTCTGTAATTTTAAATCTCTTTTTACTCTCCTATCTATCATTTAAAAATGTATAATACCTCCCACAGTTCAATTTTTAACCTTTTCTTTTTTTAATTATTTTATTTATATTGAATATTATTAAGTTACAGAAAACCTGATCCATCTGCAGGAATCACATCTGCAACACCAGTGAGTGAACACATCATAGGAATCCTGCAGACCACATGGATCCATGACCCAGACGGACCGGTAACATGACATCCAGCAGAAACAGACACAATAAAGACAAACAGACGAGGTGATTTCAGTGACTCAGTTTGAGGATTTTATGATTTTTTTACCCACAATCATAGACTTGACCACAATCTGAGCTGAGTCAGAAACATCCAAACAGTCGGACTAATAAATGTGATTATTATTATTAGAGTGATTGAAGAGCTCATAACGACATGTAGATCTGTCCAAAGTCTGATTCTAGATGTCTTTACAAACACACTGATCCAACAGAAGCAGACAGAAATATCCATCGATCACATGAACACAAATATTCAGCAAACAGAGAAAGAAACAGATCATCTGAAGAGTTTTTGGGGACGACTGGAAAGACTTTAGACGCTTGGATTTGGGACAGGAAATAAGGTGGTCCTTTTTCTGTGATTTTGACCTCACTTTTTTCTAAAGTCTCAGACCTTCAACATCTGCACCAACTGAAGGTGATTTGAACAAACCATCATCTTGATGTTGTTGATATCAAACTTGATGAAGATTTTTCAACATGAGAAATACAAACAATCAAAGTTCTCCACAATCACTGTCCTTAAAGCTGCGACCAAATCAGCATCTTTAGAAAAGAATCAAAAAGCTGAAATGAAGAACTAAACCCAGAGTTTTTGTTGAGACTGATCCACAAACATTTACAAACCAGAACATTTCAAGAGTTCAAGGATCTCAGTCCATGATTTTGGTCTGATGGACTCAAAATTCTCTTTATTTCACTTCTATAAACTCAGCTGAGCCTCCATAGCCTAACCACAGTCCAGCATGTAGCGGCTGAGTGAATGTGGTCTGGACTCTGTGGAGGAGAGTCATGGTTTCAGAGACGCTATAGAAGGACAGAATACCTGCTCTGTGATCCAGGTACACTCCTACTCTGAAGGACTGAAGACCTGAGACAGGAGTGTAGACTTTGTTGTGTATAAATGTATAACTGCCCTTATAACAGTCTAACCTCCAAGATTTGTCATTGAATCCAAATTTACAATCCTCTGAGCCCCCTTCTCTCCTGATAGTCTTGTATGCGACTGCTACCCTAACCCCATACCCTCTCCAGTCCACCTCCCAGTAACAACGTCCAGTCAGACTCTCTCTACTCAGGACCTGAAGATAATAAGTGAATCTGTCTGGATGATCAGGATAAGACTGTAGTTGTTTTGTCCATGTTGCTCTTCTGTTTCCATCAGATAATAACAGATGTCTGTTTGCTGTGTTTGGATCCAGTGTGATTCTTTGTGAATATCTTAAGAAACCAGCTCTGGTCTTGGGTTCTGCTGGTCCTGGTGGTTCTAACAGTAAAACATCCACTTCAGTCACTGCCTGTGAGACGTTTGTCCACGTCTCTGTCAGAACATCCTGGAGTTTCTCTCTGACCTCTGACACAGCTGCTGTCACCTCCTCAAAGTATCTCTGAGGACGGATGTTGATTCTGGATGAGTCTGCAGGTTGACCCGGTTCTGACAGTGAGGGGTAGCTCTTCAGAAACTGGATGTGGTCCTCTGTGAGTGAGAGCTTCTGCAGATCAGCGTCTTTCCTCTTCAGCTCAGTGATCTCCTGCTCCAGCTTCTCCTGAAGGTCTTTGACTCGACTCACTTCACGTTCCTGCTGGGATCTGACCTGCTGCTCCACCTCAGAGCGGCGTTTCTCCATCAGACGGATCAGCTGGCTGAAGATCTCCTGGCTGTGCTCCACAGCTTTATCAGCAGAGCCGTTGATAGTCTCCACCTCCTGTTGGAGCAGCTTCACATCTTCTTCTCTGTCCTGGATTCTCTGCTGGATGTTTTCTCGACTCTCCTCCAGATCTTTCTGCCTCTCAGTCCTTTCTGCTGCAGCTGAGACTATGTGGTGGCCTTTGTGTTGGTCCAAAGAGCAGAGATAACAGATGGACTTCTGATCAGTGCGGCAGAAGATCTTCATCACCTCATCATGACAAGAGCAGATGTTATCCTGGAGCGTCTTGGAGGGCTCCACCAGCTTGTGTTTCTTTAATGGAGGTGATTCATAATGAGGCTGGAGGTGAATCTGACAGTAAGAAGCCAGACATTGAAGACAGGACTTGACAGCTTTCAGTTTTCTCTCAATGCAGACGTCACAGGCCACATCTTCAGGTCCAGCATAGTAGTGATCATCAGGAGCAGCTTGGAGTCCGCTCTTCTTCAGTTCCTCCACTAAAACTGCTAACATGGTGTTTTTCTTCAGGACAGGCCTCCGTCTGAATGTCTCTCTGCACTGAGGACAGCTGTATATCCTCTTCCCATCCTCTTTATCCCAGTGGGATTGAATACAGCTCCTGCAGAAGCTGTGTCCACAGGAAACAGTCACCGGATCCTTCAGAAGATCCAAACAGATTAAACAAGAGAAAGATTCCTGGTCAAGCTGAACTCCTTTCTTCGCCATTTCAACACTCGCTGTCGACGACTGACAGGGTTTAATTTCCCAGTCTGAGCTCTGATCTCTTAAGTCAGCTCAGTATATCTTGGTTACGCCCATCCTCAGACTGTAGATCTGATCAGATCTGGGAGGGGTTATCAAGTTTTTCTACATTCCAGGAAGAGGAGCGGGGATGTGAACTTTAGACACTCAAACTTTAACAAGCAGAGGTTATTTAAGCCGCAGCGGTCGTGAACATCAACAGCATCAACATTTATCCACCTCATATAAACCTGATCGAACACAGAAACACTTCCAACGAGTAGATCAACATTTTACTGTACAAACAAAAGATTTCTCCTTTCACATTTTGGTAAATGTTTGAATTATTTTTTGCATTTACAATTTATTTGTAATCCTCTTCTAAAAATATGTCAGCCATGTTGAGTTCTTGTTATCTTGAAGGATGTAAAATCAACAAATCTCAGTAATGTTAGCTAGTGCCAATGCTAGCTAAGGTTAGCTTGTGTTTATACTAGCTCGCGTTCACAATGCAGCTGCCTGTAAATATGATGAATTGATTACATTAATGAATAGGATCAGGGCTGCAGCTACACAGACCCACAGAGGGAGAGCTTTTATTACAGCCCACGTCTGTGGATCAGCTGACCTGAGGACGGCACAGAGTCTTAAGACCCACCTTTTTAATCGGACTAAATTTGATTTATTTTACTGACCAAAAAATACTCATCTTCTCATTTAATATTATTACTGTTTAAATGTATTCTTGTGCCATATCATTTTATATTTATTTATTCTGTAGTTTTTAATGTTCTTCTCTTTAAATTCCCCTTTCTAACATTCAACATTTTTATTATACCTCCAGTATATCCTCATAAAGTTCTTGTGATGGTGTTCCCTCAGTTTGCTCAGTTTTCATTTATTTATTTATTAACTTATTTCGGGGCGGCAGTAGCTTAGGAGGTAGAGCAGTCATCCAATAACCAGAAGGTTGGCGGCTCGATTCCCCCCTATCCCAAATCTGTCCGCTGTGTCCTTGGGCAAGACACTTAACCCCCTTGCTCCCAGTGTGTGTCCTCCACTGGTGTATAATTGTGAGTGTTGTGTGGTGGTGGTTGGAGAGGCCATAGGCGCAAACTGGCAGCCACATTTCTGTCAGTCTGCCTCTGGGCAGTTGTGACTACTAAAGTAGTTTACCACCACCGTGGTGTGACTGTGTGAGCGCATAAATGAACGGTCCAATGTAAAGCGCTTTGAGGGTCTCTGATCAAGCGCTACGTAAAATCTAATGCATTATTATCATTTTATGTGAACAGGTCAATAAAAGGCAAGAACACGCAACAAACATTTTTTTGTAGGTCATTATTCCCCGACTAGACCCAAGGTAAGCAAAAACAGCAATCATTTTTCAGAATTGTACTATTTCACAGGATTCCCAATATGGAACGGTTATCTTTCATTTTTCTTGTAAGATAAATACTTAAACCTTGTAACCTTAATAAGTTGTCAATAGTACACAGACTGCAGTAAGTGGACAACAGTACATAAGCAACGACCAACAGACGACAGTAGTGGCTCACTTAATGGAAAAAATATAAATATATATAATATGCAATCAGTGTTTGCCCCTTCACTCCTGCTGCTGCTGAATTACATGCGCCGCGACTGAAATTTCACGTGATTATTCATAACAATGCGCCACTACTGATTTCTACTTGCACTGTATAAGCACAAGAACACACAACGTTATTTTCAGCTTGTTTTGAGTCATCAACGAGCACATCAAATCCTGTTGGACCCTCTTCCCTTAATGTTAAGGGTAATGTTCAAGCTCATACACGGTCTATATAGCGAGTAGCATGGGTAACATATTGTAACGTGAACGTAACAGTGTGGCTCCATGAGCAGCAAGAGAGTGGGGGTAACAGCGAACTGAAAAGGATTTCTTTCACTAAACAAATAAAACTCACGTCCTGATTTTATCTTATATTTTTTTATTTGTTTTTAAACGAATTCTTATGTCATCTTATATTTATTTATTCTGTAATTTTGAACGCTTCTAATGTTTCTCTTTTTACTCTCCTATCATTTAAAATTTTATAATACCTCCCACAGTTTGCTAAATTTTAACCCTTTTTTGAAATTATTTAGTTAATTGTATTGAATATTATTAAGATTTTTCCCTCTAAGTTACAGAAAACCTGATGCATCTGCAGAACTCACACCTGCAACCTCTAACACTTGTGAGTGAACACTAGTGATGCACGATATGAAAAATTTCAACCGATACCAGTAACCGATAATTTTCTTCTTCTCATGGCCGATACAGATACCGATAACTTCATATTTTTATATTTATTATAATCTTCATATAATCTGCAGTTTGTGCAGGAAGCGATTGAAAACTGATATTTTTGTTACTCTGGCCTATCTAGAACAACAAACAAAAGTTTTTGGCTCTTCAAATGTTTATTTTTTTCCCCATGTCATCACAAAAATATGTGGTCATTTGCTATAAATAACAATAACAGACCAAAAAGCAGAACTTCATATGACCAAAAAAATGCATCCCCTGAACTGTTCAACAGAACTGCAAACTGTAAAGGAGCTATTATGAGCCGTTAGGGTTAGCATGCTGACCGGACTAACATCTGACGTCCACATGTCTGTGGTAAAACTCATGTGTAGTCCGTTCTTGTCGATCAGGTTGTGAATGTATGTGGTGACAATATCATAGAGTGCAGGAAGAGACACATCCAAGAAGAAGTGGCGGCTTGGGAGAGTGTAGCGTGGCTCCAAGTGTGCTATTAACTTAGGAAAACCCGAGTTCTCAACGACGGAAAAAGGCTGGTCGTCGACCGCTATGAATTCCATCACTTTGTCGTTAATGGCTTTAGCCTTTTCGCTGTCTCTTGAGAAGCTTTTGCAGTTTTCAAACACCTGCTGAATGGGGACATCGATCCTCCGTAGTGTTGTTGTCTTAGCTTTAGTACCGCTAGCAGCTTCGGCGGCTGCCTCATATTCTTTTACTACCGCTTCGCTGCGATGGCGACTTTTCCGATGAGCTATCAGATTCGTTGTGTGAAAACGTGACGTCTTTCCTCCTCTCGGAATCCTTGCTGAACAAGTTTTGCATATAGCACTGCTGTTGTCATCTTCTGCCACTGAGAAAAACGACCATGCTGGTGAAGACATTTTATTATCAGTCAGGCAGTGACGGGGTCAGGCTTGGGACCTGCGAGTAAGGCGCGATAGATGACAGAACCAGCGCGTCTCGGACAGGTGGCTACTCTGCCTGCAAACGTTACTCGTAATTTCATTAATATATCGGAGCTTTCTATCGGAAAAATGTACCTATCGGACCGATAAAAAATGACGTAATTTCCCCCCAAATCGGCCGATATTCTATCGGCCCGATAAATATTGTGCATCCCTAGTGAACACATCTTAGATATCCTGCAGACCACATGGATCCATGACCCAGACGGAGCGGTAACATGACATCCAGCAGAAACAGACACAATAAAGACAAACAGACGAGGTGATTTCAGTGACTCAGTTTGAGGATTTTTATTCTTTTTACCCACAATCAGAGACTTGACCACAATCTGAGCTGAGTCAGAAACATCCAAACAGTCGGACTAATAAATGTGATTATTATTATTAGAGTGATTGAAAAGCTCATAACAACATGTAGATCTGTCCAAAGTCTGATTCTAGATGTCTTTACAAACACACTGATCCAACAGAAGCAGACAGAAATATCCATCGATCACATGAACACAAATATTCAGCAAACAGAGAAAGAAACAGATCATCTGAAGAGTTTTTGGGGACGACTGGAAAGACTTTAGACGCTTGGATTTGGGACAGGAAATAAGGTCGCCCTTTTTCTGTGATTTTGACCTCACTTTTTTCTAAAGTCTCAGACCTTCAACATCTGCACCAACTGAAGGTGATTTGAACAAACCATCATCTTGATGTTGTTGATATCAAACTTGATGAAGATTTTTCAACATGAGAAATACAAACAATCAAAGTTCTCCACAATCACTGTCCTTAAAGCTGCGACCAAATCAGCATCTTTAGAAAAGAATCAAAAAGCTGAAATGAAGAACTAAACCCAGAGTTTTTGGTGAGACTGATCCACAAACATTTACAAACCAGAACATTTCAAGAGTTAGAGGATCTCATTACGTGTTTTTTGTCTGATGGACTCAAAATTCAGTTTCAGTTTAATAAACTCAGCAGAGTCTCCATAACTGTAAGGTAACCTCAGTCCAGCATGTAGAGGTTCAGTGAATGTGGTCTGGACTCTGTGGAGGAGAGTCATGGTTTCAGAGACGCTGTAGAAGGACAGAATACCTGCTCTGTGATCCAGGTACACTCCTACTCTGGAGGACTGAGGAACTGAGACAGGAGTGATGACTTTGTTGTGCATAAATTTATAATTGTTTTTATAACACTCTAATCTCCAAGATTTGTCAGTGACTCCAAATAAACAATCCTTTGAGTTCCCGTCTCTCCTGATAGTCTTGTATGAGACTGCTACAACAACCCCACCCCCTCTCCACTCCACCTCCCAGTAACAACGTCCAGTCAGACTCTCTCTACTCAGGACCTGAACCCAATCAGTGAATCTGTCTGGATGATCAGGATAAGACTGTTGTTGTTGTTGTGTCACTGTTGCTCTTCTGTTTCCATCAGATAATCTCAGCTCTCTGTTTACTGTGTTTGGATCCAGTGTGATTCTTTGTGAATATCTTAAGAAACCAGCTCTGGTCTTGGGTTCTGCTGGTCCTGGTGGTTCTGACAGTAAAACATCCACTTCAGTCACTGCCTGTGAGATGTTTGTCCACGTCTCTGTCAGAAGATCCTGGAGTTTATCTCTGACCTCTGACACAGCTGCTGTCACCTCCTCAAAGTATCTCAGAGGACGGATGTTGATTCTGGATGAGTCTGCAGGTTGACCCGGTTCTGACAGTGAGGGGTAGCTGTGCAGAAACTGGATGTGGTCCTCTGTGAGTGAGAGCTTCTGCAGATCAGCGTCTTTCCTCTTCAGCTCAGTGATCTCCTGCTCCAGCTTCTCCTGCTGGGATCTGACCTGCTGCTCCACCTCAGAGCGGCGTTTCTCCATCAGACGGATCAGCTGGCTGAAGATCTCCTGGCTGTGCTCCACAGCTTTATTAGCAGAGCCGTTGATAGTCTCCACCTCCTGTTGGAGCAGCTTCACATCTTCTTCTCTGTCCTGGATTCTCTGCTGGATGTTTTCTCGACTCTCCTCCAGATCTTTCTGCCTCTCAGTCCTTTCTGCTGCAGCTGAGACTATGTCGTGACCTTTGTGTTGGTCCAAAGAGCAGAGATAACAGATGGACTTCTGATCAGTGCGGCAGAAGATCTTCATCACCTCGTCATGACAAGAGCAGATGTTATCCTGGAGCGTCTTGGAGGGCTCCACCAGCTTGTGTTTCTTTAATGGAGGTGATTCATAATGAGGCTGGAGGTGAATCTGACAGTAAGAAGCCAGACATTGAAGACAGGACTTGACAGCTTTCAGTTTTCTCTCAATGCAGACGTCACAGGCCACATCTTCAGGTCCAGCATAGTAGTGATCAGCAGGAGCAGCTTGGAGTCCGCTCTTCTTCAGTTCCTCCACTAAACCTGCTAACATGGTGTTTTTCTTCAGGACAGGCCTCGGTATGAAAGTCTCTCTGCACTGAGGACAGCTGTAGATCTTCTTCTCATCCTCTTTATCCCAGTGGGATTGAATACAGCTCCTGCAGAAGCTGTGTCCACAGGAAACAGTCACTGGATCCTTCAGTAGATCCAAACAGATTAAACAAGAGAAAGACTCACGGTCCAGATGAACTTCTTTCTTCGCCATTTCAACACTTGCTGTCGACGACTGACAGGGTTTAATTTCCCAGTCTGAGCTCTGATCTCTTAAGTCAGCTCAGTATATCTTGGTTACGCCCATCCTCAGACTGTAGATCTGATCAGATCTGGGAGGGGTTATCAAGTTTTTCTACATTCCAGGAAGAGGAGCGGGGATGTGAACTTTAGACACTCAAACTTTAACAAGCAGAGGTTATTTAAGCCGCAGCGGTCGTGAACATCAACAGCATCAACATTTATCCACCTCATATAAACCTGATCGAACACAGAAACACTTCCAACGAGTAGATCAACATTTTACTGTACAAACAAAAGATTTCTCCTTTCACATTTTGGTAAATGTTTGAATTATTTTTTGCATTTACAATTTATTTGTAATCCTCTTCTAAAAATATGTCAGCCATGTTGAGTTCTTGTTATCTTGAAGGATGTAAAATCAACAAATCTCAGTCATGTTAGCTAATGCCAATGCTAGCTAAGGTTAGCTTGTGTTTATACTAGCTCGCGTTCACAATGCAGCTGCCTGTAAATATGAATTGATTACATTAATGAATAGGATCAAGGCTGCAGCTACACAGACCCACAGAGGGAGAGCTTTTATTACAGCCCACGTCTGTGGATCAGCTGACCTGAGGACGGCACAGAGTCTTAAGACCCACCTTTTTAATCGGACTAAATTTGATTTATTTTACTGACCAAAAAATACTCATCTTCTCATTTAATATTATTACTGTTTAAATGTATTCTTGTGCCATATCATTTTATATTTATTTATTCTGTAGTTTTTAATGTTCTTCTCTTTAAATTCCCCTTTCTAACATTCAACATTTTTATTATACCTCCAGTATATCCTCATAAAGTTCTTGTGATGGTGTTCCCTCAGTTTTCATTTATTTATTTATTAACTTATTTCGGGGCAGCAGTAGCTCAGGAGGTAGAGCAGTCATCTAATAACCAGAAGGTTGGCGGCTCGATTCCCCCCTATCCCAAATCTGTCCGCTGTGTCCTTGGGCAAGACACTTAACCCCCTTGCTCCCAGTATGTGTCCTCCACTGGTGTATAATTGTGAGTGTTGTGTGGTGGTGGTTGGAGAGGCCATAGGCGCAAACTGGCAGCCACATTTCTGTCAGTCTGCCTCTGGGCAGTTGTGACTACTAAAGTAGTTTACCACCACCGTGGTGCGACTGTGTGAGCGCATAAATGAACGATCCAATGTAAAGCGCTTTGAGGGTCTCTGATCAAGCGCTACGTAAAATCTAATGCATTATTATCATTTTATGTGAACAGGTCAATAAAAGGCAAGAACACGCAACAAACATTTTTTGTAGGTCATTATTCCCCGACTAGACCCAAGGTAAGCAAAAACAGCAATCATTTTTCAGAATTGTACTATTTCACAGGATTCCCAATATGGAACGGTTATCTTTCATTTTTCTTGTAAGATAAATACTTAAACCTTGTAACCTTAATAAGTTGTCAATAGTACACAGACTGCAGTAAGTGGACAACAGTACATAAGCAACGACCAACAGACGACAGTAGTGGCTCACTTAATGGAAAAAATATAAATATATATAATATGCAATCAGTGTTTGCCCCTTCACTCCTGCTGCTGCTGAATTACATGCGCCGCGACTGAAATTTCACGTGATTATTCATAACAATGCGCCACTACTGATTTCTACTTGCACTGTATAAGCACAAGAACACACAACGTTATTTTCAGCTTGTTTTGAGTCATCAACGAGCACATCAAATCCTGTTGGACCCTCTTCCATCAACATGAAAGGTAACGTTCAAGCTCATACACAGTCTGTATAGCGAGTAGCGTTAATAGCATTAGTAGCATTAATATCAATGCACCACTAATGATTTCTATTCGCACTGTGTGAGCACAACAACACATGATGTTATTTTCGACTTATTTTGAGTCATCAACGAGCGCATCAAATCCTGTCGGACCCTCTTCCATTAATGTTAAGGGTAACATTCAAGCTCATACACAGTCTATATAGCGATTAGCACGGGTAACATACTGTAATGTGACCGTAACAGTGTGGCTCCATGAGCAGCAAGAGAGTGGGGGTAACACCAACAGCAACAGCGACCGCGACCGCGGCGACCGCGGCGACCCCCCCCCCCCCCCCCCCCCCGCGACACAGAAGCGCCGCCGTTAAAAAATTCTAGGGGAAACACTGGCAATAATACATTTCTTGAGCCACAAAGCCTAACAGACTAACCTCAAAAAAAGTGCATTATGAACAAACACGTGCAACTGCTCTTTTAGCAGTGCAATAATTTTAAGAGAAATACACTTTAACAGAGAAATGAACTCACTTTAACAGCGGTGTGTCGCCTTCACTCAAAGTCACTCACCACTGGATCTCAACTGGACATCTCTCCCCTCTAAATTAGACAGAAGTACATAAAAATGCACATATTGTGACAAAATTTGTATATAACTGAGTTTTCTTCGACTTTTACCCGATTATGTTAAAAATGACCACTCACGCTGCCCTGACGCTCGGTCTTTTCCTTTGCCGCGGCAGCTTCGACAAACACACACTTCCTAATTTACAAAAATCGACATGAAAACCGAATCATCCCTCATCAGCCTTACTGTGCAGAAGTTCACATGACTTCAGTTCCTGATACTGACAAAAATCTTTGGATTACAGTCATGTTTATAGCTATATATCTCCTCTACATCGACAAAATGCACACCTCAGGAGTCCGCCATTTCGCGGGTGCTCAATTTCCGTCTTCTCCGTGTGTCTAAAGTCTCATAAGAACTCCGTGCTCTCGCGGAACGAGCTCTGCATGGCTCTTAAAGGGACAGTACTACCTAGATGAGCAGCATCTCTTAAGAGTGATAATGACAAGAATTAACATTGAAACAGTATTTTAAACAGTCTCCAGTTCACCCGGCTGCATTAAAAGTATTAATATTATTATTTTTATATATATAATATTTATAAATATATATATATATATATAATATTTATTAATATATATGTGAGAAATAGTCCAGAGGTGTTTGCCAGGTTTCAGTGAGACAGAGAAAGTCCAGGTTATTCTCAGTTATGAATTCATTGAGAAGGAGGCTTTTGTAATTGAGGTAGCGGGTGTTGAATAAGGCCACTCTGAGGTGATGTTGCTTTGTGAGGCGCTGTGAGGATCAAGGAAGTGGACGCAAGTTAACCAGATCAGTATTTTTTGTGCTCAGTGGATGGGGGCGCCTGCATCTGGTGATGGTCTGAATGTGAAAAGTTACAGGTTGTAAATGTAATGACTGATGTGGCCAGGGGGAGGAGCTAGAAGTCATGAGCAAGCTCTGTGCTGCCAGTGAAGCTTTTGGTGTAGAGGAAGAGTGAGCAGAGTGAGTGGAGGGGGCATGGCGGGTAAACAGTCGTGCACGTGTGATTGTATGGATGGCGTGCTGCAGGTTAGCTGCTAGCATGTGGCTATCGTGTCGGTTTGGATGAAGGCCGTCAGTTTTGAAGAGGGGGGAGCGGTTCCAGAGGAGATTAAAATTGTCAATGAAGTTGATATTGCGAGTGGAGCATGTGGACTGTAACAAGGTGTGGAGGCTGACAATCCTGCTAAAACCTGCTCTGTGGAGCCTTCTGCTTGTTGTTTAGTGTAATGTATGCTTTGAACCTCAACTACCCCACAGAACTGAAGTACACTTTCCAAGAGCTTCAAAACTGTGATGGAGCGAGACAGCGGCACTCTCTCGAAGAAACCCTAAGTTCCCACAAAGAGACTCCATCAGTGAGCTGTCAGAGAGACATGGTAAAGATAGTTGACCATGGTTGGCCCTTGGTTGGCCCTTGGAGTATGGACCATGGTTTGTGACGTTGATGCTCGACTTGAAGCACTTGTGCAACTCTCTTGCACCGCCTCAATGTTTACTACCCTTTTTAACTGTACTTTAGATATCAAGTCATGGATGGAAGAGAACCTTTTACAGCTCAACCAGAACTAAAATCAGGATTTGGTCATTGGTGCTGGAGGTCAAAAGACAAACTGGATGCTCTAATCAAATCACTGTCTTTTAACAAATGTCAGAAGGTCAGAAACCTTGGATTGGTGCTGGATCCAGAACCTTAGCTTTGAGCCAAATATTAGAGAGATCTCAAAAGAAGCGTTTTACCACTTGAGGAATATTGCAAGAGTACAACAGCTTCTCTTTAAAGCCAACGCAGAGACTCTAGTCTAGTTCATGTTTTTATAACCTGCAGAATTGACTACTGTAGCACTCTTCTTTCCGGTCCTCCTAAAAAGATCTCTCAACTTAAAGCTCTTAACGGTCTGGCACAAACCTCTTTATCAGATTTGCTTATATGATCCTGTGAGGGTCCTCAGGTCTTCAGGTAGTGGTCTTTAAAAAGCCCACGTCTGTGGATCAGCTGACCTGAGGACCCGAAGACCTGAGGATGCCACAGGGTCTCCATGTTTTCAAAATCAAACTCAAGACCCACTTTTTTAAGTTTTGCATTGAACTGAATTGGATTTCTTTCACTAAACAAATAAAACTCGTCTTCTGATTTTATCTTATATTTTTTTGATTTCTTTTTAAACTATTTCTTTTATCATCTTATATTTATTCTGTAATTTTGAACTCTTTTAATGTTTATCTCTTTTTCCTCTCCTATCTGACATTTAAGATTTTATAATACCTCCCACAGTTCAATTTTTAATTTTTAAATTATTTTTATTAAGATTTTCCCTTTAAGTTACAGAAAACCTGATCTATCTGCAGGACTCACACCTGCGACCTCTAACACTTGTGAGTGAACACATCATAGAAATACTGCAGACCACATGGATCCACGACTAAGATGAACCGGTAACATGACATCCAGCAGAAACAGACACAATAAAGACAAACAGACGAGGTGATTTCAGTGACTCAGTTTGAGGATTTTTATGATTTTTTTACCCACAATCAGAGACTTGACCACAATCTGAGCTGAGTCAGAAACATCCAAACAGTCGGACTAATAAATGTGATTATTATTATTAGAGTGATTGAAAAGCTCATAACAACATATAGATCTGTCCAAAGTCTGATTCTAGATGTCTTTACAAACACACTGATCCAACAGAAGCAGACAGAAATATCCATCGATCACATGAACACAAATATTCAGCAAACAGAGAAAGAAACAGATCATCTGAAGAGTTTTTGGGGACGACTGGAAAGACTTTAGACGCTTGGATTTGGGACAGGAAATAAGGTCGTCCTTTTTCTGTGATTTTGACCTCACTTTTTTCTAAAGTCTCAGACCTTCAACATCTGCACCAACTGAAGGTGATTTGAACAAACCATCATCTTGATGTTGTTGATATCAAACTTGATGAAGATTTTTCAACATGAGAAATACAAACAATCAAAGTTCTCCACAATCACTGTCCTTAAAGCTGCGACCAAATCAGCATCTTTAGAAAAGAATCAAAAAGCTGAAATGAAGAACTAAACCCAGAGTTTTTGGTGAGACTGATCCACAAACATTTACAAACCAGAACATTTCAAGAGTTCAAGGATCTCAGTCCATGATTTTGGTCTGATGGACTCAAAATTCTCTTTATTTCACTTCTATAAACTCAGCAGAGGCTCCAATAGAGCCTAACCTCAGTCCAGCATGTAGCGGCTGAGTGAATGTGGTCTGGACTCTGTGGAGGAGAGTCATGGTTTCAGAGACGCTGTAGAAGGACAGAATACCTGCTCTGTGATCCAGGTACACTCCTACTCTGGAGGACAGAGGACCTGAGATAGGAGTGCGGACTTTGTTGTGCATAAATTCATAACTGTCTTCATCACAGACTAACCTCCAAGATTTGTCAGTGACTCCAAATAAACAATCCTTTGAGTTCCCGTCTCTCCTGATAGTCTTGTATGCGACTGCTACACCAACCTCGTCCCCTCTCCAGTCCACCTCCCAGTAACAACGTCCAGCCAGACTCTCTCTACTCAGGACCTGAACCCAATCAGTGAATCTGTCTGGATGATCAGGATAAGACTGTTCTTCTTCTGTCCTTGTTGCTCTTCTGTTTCCATCAGATAATCTCAGCTCTCTGTTTACTGTGTTTGGATCCAGTGTGATTCTTTGTGAATATCTTAAGAAATCAGCTCTGGTCTTGGGTTCTGGTTCTGGCAGTAAAACATCCACTTTAGTCACTGCCTGTGAGACGTTTGTCCACGTCTCTGTCAGAAGATCCTGGAGTTTCTCTCTGACCTCTGACACAGCTGCTGTCACCTCCTCAAAGTATCTCTGAGGACGGATGTTGATTCTGGATGAGTCTGCAGGTTGACCCGGTTCTGACAGTGAGGGGTAGCTGTGCAGAAACTGGTTGTGGTCCTCTGTGAGTGAGAGCTTCTGCAGATCAGCGTCTTTCCTCTTCAGCTCAGTGATCTCCTGCTCCAGCTTCTCCTGAAGGTCTTTGACTCGACTCACTTCACGTTCCTGCTGGGATCTGACCAGCTGCTCCACCTCAGAGCGGCGTTTCTCCATCAGACGGATCAGCTGGCGGAAGATCTCCTGGCTGTGCTCCACAGCTTTATCAGCAGAGCCGTTGATAGTCTCCACCTCCTGTTGGAGCAGCTTCACATCTTCTTCTCTGTCCTGGATTCTCTGCTGGATGTTTTCTCGACTCTCCTCCAGATCTTTCTGCCTCTCAGTCCTTTCTGCTGCAGCTGAGACTATGTCGTGACCTTTGTGTCGGTCCAAAGAGCAGAGATAACAGATGGACTTCTGATCAGTGCGGCAGAAGATCTTCATCACCTCATCATGACAAGAGCAGATGTTCTCCTGGAGCGTCTTGGAGGGCTCCACCAGCTTGTGTTTCTTTAATGGAGGTGATTCATAATGAGGCTGGAGGTGAATCTGACAGTAAGAAGCTAGACATTGAAGACAGGACTTGACAGCTTTCAGTTTTCTCTCAATGCAGACGTCACAGGCCACATCTTCAGGTCCAGCATAGTAGTGATCAGCAGGAGCAGCTTGGAGTCCGCTCTTCTTCAGTTCCTCCACTAAAACTGCTAACATGGTGTTTTTCTTCAGGACAGGCCTCGGTATGAAAGTCTCTCTGCACTGAGGACAGCTGTAGATCATCTTCTCATCCTCAGTATCCCAGTGGGATTGAATACAGCTCCTGCAGAAGCTGTGTCCACAGGAAACAGTCACCGGATCCTTCAGTAGATCCAAACAGATTAAACAAGAGAAAGACTCACGGTCCAGATGAACTCCTTTCTTCGCCATTTCAACACTCGCTGTCGACGACGACTGACAGGGTTTAATTTCCCAGTCTGAGCTCTGATCTCTTAAGTCAGCTCAGTATATCTTGGTTACGCCCATCCTCAGACTGTAGATCTGATCAGATCTGGGAGGGGTTATCAAGTTTTTCTACATTCCAGGAAGAGGAGCGGGGATGTGAACTTTAGACACTCAAACTTTAACAAGCAGAGGTTATTTAAGCCGCAGCGGTCGTGAACATCAACAGCATCAACATTTATCCACCTCATATAAACCTGATCGAACACAGAAACACTTCCAACGAGTAGATCAACATTTTACTGTACAAACAAAAGATTTCTCCTTTCACATTTTGGTAAATGTTTGAATTATTTTTTGCATTTACAATTTATTTGTAATCCTCTTCTAAAAATATGTCAGCCATGTTGAGTTCTTGTTATCTTGAAGGATGTAAAATCAACAAATCTCAGTCATGTTAGCTAGTGCCAATGCTAGCTAAGGTTAGCTTGTGTTTATACTAGCTCGCGTTCACAATGCAGCTGCCTGTAAATATGATGAATTGATTACATTAATGAATAGGATCAGGGCTGCAGCTACACAGACCCACAGAGGGAGAGCTTTTATTACAGCCCACGTCTGTGGATCAGCTGACCTGAGGACGGCAGGATGGTGTTCCCTCAGTTTGCTCAGTTTTCATTTATTTATTTCATTTATTAACTTATTTCGGGGCGGCAGTAGCTCAGGAGGTAGAGCAGTCATCCAATAACCAGAAGGTTGGCGGCTCGATTCCCCCCTATCCCAAATCTGTCTGCTGTGTCCTTGGGCAAGACACTTAACCCCCTTGCTCCCAGTGTGTGTCCTCCACTGGTGTATAATTGTGAGTGTTGTGTGGTGGTGGTTGGAGAGGCCATAGGCGCAAACTGGTAGCCACATTTCTGTCAGTCTGCCTCTGGGCAGTTGTGACTACTAAAGTAGTTTACCACCACCGTGGTGTGACTGTGTGAGCGCATAAATGAACGGTCCAATGTAAAGCGCTTTGAGGGTCTCTGATCAAGCGCTACGTAAAATCTAATGCATTATTATCATTTTATGTGAACAGGTCAATAAAAGGCAAGAACACGCAACAAACATTTTTTTGTAGGTCATTATTCCCCGACTAGACCCAAGGTAAGCAAAAACAGCAATCATTTTTCAGAATTGTACTATTTCACAGGATTCCCAATATGGAACGGTTATCTTTCATTTTTCTTGTAAGATAAATACTTAAACCTTGTAACCTTAATAAGTTGTCAATAGTACACAGACTGCAGTAAGTGGACAACAGTACATAAGCAACGACAAACACACCACAGTACGCCACTACTGAAATTTCACATGATCATTTTGCGAGACTACTGATTTCTGTATAAGCACAAAAACATACGTCGGTATTTCCAGCTTGTTTTGAGTCATCAACGAGCACATCAAATCCTGTTGGACCCTCTTCCATCAACATGAAAGGTAACGTTCAAGCTCATACACAGTCTGTATAGTGAGTAGCGTTAATAGCATTAGTAGCATTAATATCAACGCTCACTGTGTGAGCACAACAACACATGATGTTATTTTCGACTTATTTTGAGTCATCAACGAGCGCATCAAATCCTGTCGGACCCTCTTCCTTTAATGTTAAGGGTAACATTCAAGCTCATACACGGTCTATATAGCGAGTAGCACGGGTAACATACTGTAACGTGACTGTGAGAGTGGGGGTAACAGGGGTAACAACATGAAATAGTTTAAAAAAAAGTAAATTCAATTAAAAGGGGGGTCTGAAAGTGGAAACAGGATAGAAAATATAAAGGGCAATATCAATAATAATAAAATAATGACAGGTAATATTGATGATAATAGTAATGATAAAATACAGCAACAGAAATGAGCAAGCGACAAAACAATAAAAGGCCTGAAAGGTTAATTAAGAAAAGGGTACAAGAATAACAAAAGCTAAAAAGACAGTAAGGCTGAAATAAGACAGAGGTAAAAGAGATAAAAGATGACAGAGAAAATACAAAATATTTGTATCTATCAAATTTATTTTTATCTATACAGACAAAGCAGAATCCTGGCTGACTCACCTTAAATCAAATCCCATGAACCACTAGTTGTGCGACACCAGCCTTTCTTCAACTAAGAGTTGTGACCTAAACTAGTTTGGGAGTGAATTTTTGCTGGGTCACCACCAGAGCTCATATGTCGCGAGTCGACTTTTAACGTAGACTTTAATTTGAAGAATGAACATCGAAACCTAGACCTGTCTGTGAACTGATTTTACTTTGACGTCATCATTTCTGTGTTCCGACTGCCAATAGATCCGGTAATACCACACAAAGATAGTTTGGAAAGCCTCGCCCCACATTGGTATGTTTACTAATGCTCTGTAAACCATGACCTGAAATAACCCCACCGCAGACTCTTTACTGCCGTTCACACACACGAGACTAAAGCAAAGTTTCTCACTTAATAACTTTGTATTCACCCCTATAAATATACCTCTAAATCTTAAATACTATACCTTTAAACATTTTTCTTTTATGTACTAACTTCTTTTTAATTTTTCTTAGTCTTTAATGAAACCAAACAAAAACCAAACAGTCGAGAAAATCTCAGGCTGTTTGTAAAGCAGGGGACTCGTTCTGAAGGCAACAACAAAATGAAAATAGAAATGTCTGTGTATGTGAATATAAATGAAACTGACATGAGGGATGTTTTGTCATCAGTGCAGGAAATCAAAAAGTACAGGAGGAAGGTTCAACAACAAGATAATGAGGAGTCATTCGTCTTCTATCAGCTTTTATTTTTAATTTCCTTTCGCATGAAAAATAAACTCTTGAAACTCAGCAGAGACGAGAGTAATCCGAACATATTTATTTATTTATTTAAGTAACAAGAAAAAGCTTTTTATCAGTTTGCATCCCTCACAAATGGCTAACCCAATTTTGTTTATCTATTTTTTTCTAACCCTTACATCTGACCCTCACTGACCGCTGCCTCCTGAAAATTCATCTTTAATTAAGTAAGAATGAGAAGAAAATGTTGATTTTACAATTATTATCATTATTGACCCTCATCTCCAACCCTCTGAGCTGATATTCCTCAAGAAAAAATAAAAGTTTTCTATATTTGCTTAATTTCTCACCATCATGTTGAAGTACAGGAATAAAAATCAGCCTAAGCGGTTTCCCCCCTCGGTTATTGTTTGTTGGATCACGGGTTTCCACCCCGGACCCCCCACCTTGAGTGACCTCTGACCCAAAACTAAACAAGCAGCTGGATTAATCAACCCCTTGGCAGGCAGATGAGGCATTAATCTGTTGTAATCCACCACATTAGATAGCAGCTCGCTCATATTATTGGGGGTTTTTCGGGGGTGGCGGCTGCGATGTGGCCATTCGGCTGTAATGGTCACAGTGGGATTAAGTGACAGTGTTAAGCCACTTCCTCCCGTGAACAACAGCGACTTAAGACCTCGGCGGGGAGGAACACAAATTTAGATTGAAGAAGGTGACAGAACAGGAAAACAGACAGTGTTTACAGCGGGTGAGGGAGGGGGAGGTTAAGGTACGAGGCGTAATCCTGCCACAACAATACCCGTCACACAATTAACACTACAACAACGTCTGTCAATATTAGTATAAAGGCAGATAGCAGCCGTCATGTCACTTTAATCCCTGATAAACCTGACTGCGTTAATCCTTCATTTACTGCCACTGTCACTCCCACAACACTAAACAGAGCCGTCCACATACCCGTTATTTATTTTTCCTATTAAGTTCAAGAAGTTCAAGCACTAAATGTGTTTTTTTTTTTATTGGTTTTTAGTTTTTTTTTTTTCCACAGTACTCACACTTTTCACTGAGGCCGTGAACTTACTGAAGATGAATAAAGATAGAGGTTGAATTCAAGGTTATTGATCATTACAGCGCAAAATAAAATAGAAAATATTTCTAAGAAATGTCAGAAATGATTATTATTCATTTTTTTGCATTTTATCTGAAATTATCTGTAGTCGTGTGGTTCCAGGTTATTAAAAAAAACAGGAGGATTTGCTGCTTTTCTCCGTCCATCCTTAAAACAGACTAAGTCTATGTTCACACTGCAGGTCAATTCTGACTTTTTAACCATATGTGACACATATCTGATTTTTTCATCCAAGTGTGAACAGGTCAATTCTGATTTGTTCTAATCTGACCCAGGCCTCTTCTGTATGTGGATATAAATCTGATATGTATCTGATGTGACGCTCAGGTCGGGTTCATATTTATACGTCATCAATATGCGACAAACGTCACCAACAACACAAACAGGCGCGGAAAGCAATTTGTTTTTTGTTTTTTATGCATCATAACCTGTAGAGTGAACATAGCCCAATTCTGCACTTTTAGGAGACTGTGATGACAATTTTATCAGGTATACTGTCATGAAAACCATTCCTAGTTAGGGGGCGCTGTTGAGTCAGTGATCAAATGAAACCTAGAAAATTAAGTTTTGTTTCCAGGCCAGATGTTTGTCGAGTTTGATGAGCTTTTGGGGGCATATCAGGACCCCTTAATTTGGGTTTCAGCAGAGTCCTTGCACCGTGTTTTGGCGCTCACATTAACAGAAACACACCAATGTTTACGATCCTTACGAATGTGCAATGTGCAATAAATACTATTATTATGTAAATTCTATACAGATGTCAATATGAGGCATGTACATATCTTGTTTTAACTCAAAGTTTCTTTATCTTTTAATTTTTCTCTTTTTGTATCCTTACTATGCTGCTGTTAATTTGGACTATTAAAGGAACATCTTAACTTATCTTAAATTACATTAAAATATGATACTTTGTGTGAATGAAGAAGTAAAAAATAAACCTCTGCTGAGTCTGCAGAGGATCGCCTCTTTTAACACTATCTCCAAAAAGACAAGAGATCCCGTTTGTAAAATTTCCATTTTTACTGTGGATATAAAAAACGTTTTCAGCCTTTTGGTGTTTATACTTGCTGTCACTCATGCACACTCAATCACAAGGCTTCCTATAGGATAGTCATGCACATTATACTCATACTGGGTGTGTTTGTGAAGGGAAGTCCATGCGATGCTGTAAATGTTCCCGTTGGTGCCTGTAACATGACCTAAGATTAAAAAGAGACATTTAAAGGTCAATAAGCTCTCCTGATGTTGTCTGTGCTCATCCACTCTACAATTTCTGTCTGCTCCAACACTATATTCTTCTTATCCACTAACATTATATCTAGACTTGTGTTTGTAATTCTATATCTGTATAAAGAAGAGAGGACAGCTGAATTAAGCAGAAAACTGGAAACAGAGAGAAGGGTGTGACATATGGCGAAGGGCCGTGGGTCGGAGTTGAACTCAGCCGCCAGCTCTGAGGCGCAATTTAAACGCCGAGCTCCACCGAAGGCCAGACTAATTCATTAATATTCATAATTAGGAGCATGGCTTATTTGACTGTCAGGTCGGCACATTTAAGTTATTCGCCAGGAGGCTCAAAGCTCCATCAGCTCTTCACACGTTTCTCACTTTCCCCGGACCGAAAGTTTAGCTCAGCGAGACTTTTCAAAACGGCGACCACCATTGCAGGTGAGTGATGGTGATGGCCGTACTGGAAGGATTTAGCTTGTATAGCGCCATCTTCTGAGTAAAATACTGTAAAACAATCAAGTCTTTCTGGTGGAGCCCACTTTGAGATGAAAACACAGTATTAAATGTAATCTTGAACAGACTGCAGCTTCCTCGATCGAAATATCTCATAAACAGGAAACCTACAGAGTATTTTTCGGGTATTTCCTGTCTGGTCGAAGCTGTAAAGTGTGGCGTTCCTCAGGGGAACCATCCGGGCCCGCTTCTGTTTTCAGTTTTTCTAATTTACTAATGAATCATCATTGATTTTGAATTTTGTCGACGCTGCAACGTAAGCGGATGATTCCACTCGAACTAAATCACTCGAGGTACTTAAACCCTCAGTCCTGGTTTCCTCCTGCAGACGTGGTATTGATGGAGTGAGTGTACCATTACACATTATTTGTGGTTAGGGGAAGTGTGTCCCATATTGATTGCTTCTGCTAGGAGGTGTAATTATGTAGAGCTATCTATTATACAAGGAAGGCTTTTTAAATCATCATGTTTTGTCTCTGCAGCAGCTGCCTGTGCTACAGAAGCTAATGTATAAAAAATTAACAACCTGGGAGCCTGTTTTCATAAGCCAGAGAGAAACAGACCTTACACACTCGCTCCAAGACTGTCTGAGCCGAGGTTCTCCCGGTGGATTTCCCTCATACTGAGCTGTTTTCATTCCTACCTGGCAGGTGAAATGGCATTTCTCTTTTGTCTTTCTCTTTTCTTCCCTCCAAGTGAGGAGGAAAAACAAACAGGACTTCTTTTTGGAGTTTTTTTCCCCCCAGAGTCACTTCCTCCAACGAAAGCGTCCTCGAGGATTTCTAAGAGATATCACGTAGCTTCGATTGTTTATGATTATGGATTGCAAAGACACGGACATCATGATTATACCGTCACTGTAACCAAGATCGATATTAGCTGCTTGCTTAGTCTTTGGCTGTACTGAAGGACCTATCATGGTCACTCACAGTAACTATCCGGATCCTCAAATGAAGACCAGACCGGAGCCTCTGTTGACAAAAACCACCTCAGGCAGCGGGGCTTCTGTCCTGTCTGAGAAGTAATTCAGTCCGGGTCACTTTGTCAAAATTCTGCTTTATTGTACAAAGTTAAATTTGGCGGCATAGTTCTGTTCTGGGTCCCCGCCCTTCCACACACTTGTGCGGGAGCCAGAGGCAGGAAGAGCCCCTTCCTGCCCTGAAGGAGCCATCATGAAAAGGCGATAGAGGGAACGCACATAAGGTCATCATGAAGGCAGAGACAACGGGGGGTAGAGCAGCGATAAACAGAACCCTCCGTAACAGGAGTGCTTCAAGAGTAGTGGAGCAGTTTAGCCGGCACAAGGGTGGAGCTAGGGTGGAGCTGGGTTGTTGGTTGGCTGTCGAAGCGGAGGAAGAGGCTGGGTTAGGGCAACCAGCTGGGCCATCAGCTGGTTGAAGCGGCTACTTTTCAGTGGCTGTGGATCAGCGCTTGACGTCCTGACCTGCTGGAACTAACGCTCTGCTTCATTATGAAATATCAAAGTTTTCATGAATACAAACTTTTTTCCAATATTTAGAATATTAATTTTCAAACCAATCATAACGTTTTATGAAGCGGCATGATTTGAAAACAGTTTCTCTGTATTTTAGATATTATAATGTAACGGTGGTGCAGAAAGAGTTAAATGAGCCCCCACCCCCAATTTCCACCGCATCCGAGAGGCTACGAGAAAGCTGTATCCATCGATTGTAGCTAAACGTAACCGTTCAAGATAATGTGTCATGTACCGGCTTCGTTACGGATCCCTGCGGTCCAGCGAGCTTCATAGCTGATCGCCAGGGTTCTACTTTTTCTGGACGCCGCAGCATGCACTCTGTGTTTCAGGCGGATCGTATTTCACACCATGCAAACGGGCGGAGATGAACAAGTGAAAGGTTTTTAGACGTCATTTCACCCCGATGACACCATGGATGAGGAGATGCTGATTCTAGAAGTCTAGAAGTAGATTTCCTCCTCTGGAAGGACACAATCTACTGCTTATATGTCTAGTGGTTGTCTTCATAGAAAGTTCTCGCAATTCCCACTGTCCCTAATCCGCCACGAAATTCACCTGACAAACGGATCTGGTAGGAATTGGTGGATGGCGAATATCGCCGCCATTCCAGATCGGAGCCGTACCGGATGCGATGGAAATTGGGGGTCACACATGCACACAGATGAAGTTTTACTCCTGAGTTGAATCAAACATTATCAATAACAGAGTGAGATTATAACCTTCTGCTGAGAGTTTCTGCTGGATTTGAAAACAACTAAAACATCACACCTCTAAATGGCCTTAAATAAAACACCTGTACACGACTGCTGCCATTATTCCTTTAGTATTATCTAAAATAACGTCATCAAGATGAGAGCTACAGATTTTTTTGAAGCAGCATGTGACTCAGATAGTTTCCTTAAACAACTGCAACTTGAA